ATGCACACACACATAGCATACACACATTAATAGAATTACTACACTGCATATATGTTCTGTAGTAAAGGACTTCATTTACTTGGTAGCATGTCAAAAGAAATATCTTTCTAATTCAATAAATATTTAGTGCTTTTTTTTCACTACTGTAAGCAGTTCTGTATTTAATTTTCCTCATGGAAATTTTATGCTTAAATCCCTAAATATTTCCTCAGGAGCAGTTGTGAGAAGTGGGATTGCTAGATAAATAGAATGTGTGCTTTTTAAAAAGTCTTTCAAAGGCAAAGAGAGATAGCCACCCACACATAGAGCGAGGGTGTTCACGTGGGGTGGTTCATCCCCGAGGTCTGCAACAGCTTACACTGGGCTGGGACAAAAGATGAATACTGAGTCTGTAATCCAGCTATCCCTTGTGAGCTGCAGGTAAACCGTGCTAGCATCACTGCCTCCATGGTAGGCACTGGATCCAGAATCCAGAATTGAACAAGGCACTCCAAGGCAGAACATGGACCTCTGCAATCCTAGGCCAGATGTCCAACCCAGTATACGGGCTTTTCACAGACAGACGACAGCAATTTACATTTCCATCAGTACCTGATCAAAGTACCAATCTCTTCACACTTTCTATAAAACTGGATACTTACTTAGCCATTCAAATCTTTGAGGCTTTTATAAACTCTTCATCTAATTACTGTTTCCATTTTGCATTGGTTCAATGGAATTTGAGTTAATTATGTTTTGCTGGCAATTTACAATTTTTTGTTACAAACTGCTCATTTTATCCTTTGTTACCTTATCTTTGGGGAATTTTTTTTTCTTCATAAGAACTCTTTACATGTTATAAACTCTAACCTTTGTTCATTAATGTTAAGAAAAATTCAAGCATGTCATTTACTTCCAGAGAACACACTGGTAAGTGGATCTTTAAATTATTGGCATATGCAAGATCTGAAGTGTAGGTTATGCAGGACAACACGTTGGTTTCAGAAACAGAGACTAAAGTGTTCTGTGGAAGGTTCACCTGAGTCTGGAGACGAGACAGAGGTGAAATCTACAAATCAAACCAATGCTTGGTAACTTGGGCATAGAGAGAGAATGGGTTATCCATCATCTTTCTTGAGTCTTCCCATATGAATCCTGGTGAGAGAATTGGAAAACTAGAAAACAAAAACAGTCCTCACCCAGAAGAGATCTAATCAGTTGTACGGCATCCAGGGCAAAACAAAACACACAATCAAAAAATGTAAAGCTGTCAAGACATAGTAAACAGTTTCATTGGGAGTCCATCTTTGTCTAGAAGTAGAGATGCATGCTGCATACTGAATATGATAGTCTCCATTACACAGTTATTATACATCCCCTAAAACGAAAAGCCACAAAACAAACAGGAAAACAACAGGAGGGGGAAAAAAAGAAGAAATTAACACCACCATGAGTTAAGTAACATGCTACTGAATAACTAATGTGTCACTGAAGAAATGAAAAAGAAAATCAAGAACCTTCTTGAAGAAAATTATGCTACTGTATGGTCTATGAGTCACTGAAGAATGCTGGACTCTGCCATTGTCCATGTCCGCATAGGATGCTGGACTCTGCCATTGCCCGTGCCCACAATGATGGACATATGACTGTGTATGAGGAACTATGCTATGGGGAACTCGGTGAGGGAGGAGGGAATTGGGGCGGGGATGAGGGAAATCCCAGAGCCTATGGAACTGAACAGTTTGGTCATTTAAACCACTGAGCATTTATTTTCAAGTAGCTTTAACTGGCTCTTTTCATATGCAAAGCATCCATTCTCAAGAAATTATCTGGAAGAGAAGGCCAGCCATCCTCCTGAAACAGTACAACTTTGAACCAAGGAAAGGACAAATGTCAGATTCCCCTGGACTCACATTCCTTCTGTCTCCATCTCATTTAAGTTGATCACACATCTCAGACGCCCTGGACACAGAGCAGAAACACAAACTTGAGTAGGATTGCCTAGAGTTTCAGTTTCTTCTATTGCTGGGCAAAGGTTTAAGGCAGGGGTCTGTATCACCACATGTGTTGCTAAATGAGTAAGTGTCATGGATATGACAGGAGGCTCAGGGTCCGCTGAGCAGCCGAAGATCAGGTACAGCAGAATGAGAACAGGAGAGAGCTACAAGATGAGGGAATTTTTACCATTTTTCTTTATCATACTTTCCATCAGTACTTCCAATCCATTTTTTCTTTTTAATTTTTTTTTTAATTCTTATTTGAATGACAGAGCAGAGAGAGGAGATACAGAGGGAGAAAAAGATCTTCTATCCACTAGTTCACTCCCCAAACAGCTGCAATGGCTCCAGCTGAGTCTACCCTAAGTAAGGAGCCAGGCAGGCAGGAGCCTCCTTCAGGTCTCCCATGTGAATGCAGGGGCCTAAGGACCTGAAGTCCTCCACAGCTTTCCCTCTCCATAAGCAGGGAGCAGCCAGGACATGAATTGGTACCCATATGGGATACTGGCAACACAGGTAAATACCTAACTTACTATTCCAGGGCACCAGCCCTAATTTTTTAATTTTTTTCTGTTTTCTTCTTTTAAAATCAAGGCTTGGATCCATCATGTTGGCTTAACTGGCTAATCCCCTACCTTCAGCAGTGTCCCAACTGCTTTGCTTCCAATGCAGCTCCATACCTATGACCTAGGAAAGCAGTGGTAGAAGGCCTAAAATCTTAGGACCCTGTACCCACATGGGAGGCCCAGGAGAAGTTCCTGGTTCCTGGCTTTGGATTGGCTCAACTCTGGCCATTGCGGCCATTTGGGAAGTAAACCAGTGAATGAAAGCTCTTTCTTTGTCTCTCCTTCTCACTGCAAATCTGTGCTACCAAATAAATAAATAAATATTTAAAAAATAAAAACAAGTTTTATTTGCATCTCTTATATTCACCCTCATATTTTAGAATTTCTGAATTTAATTGTCTTATAATCAAGCAATGTTACCCAATTTAGAATCAATTGTCAGTCATCAAAACAATTTAATGGATCTAACACATTTTACTTTAGCCACTCTATGCCCCCTTTCCTTGTATTCTCTGTATATCTAAGCCCATGTTCACTTAAAAAGAGCATCCTTAGTATTTAATTCTAGACTATGGGCTGGATGGAAAAGGTGGAAGTTTGAAGGGCAGAGAAAAACAGGGTCATGTACCCTTTCAGCCTTGACAAGATCATAAGATCAAGCATGGTAAACACCAGCCATTCAATGAATTACCACATTCAGTGGTCAGAACTGAGGGTCACTTTGGCCGAAGTGGAAAATGGCCAGCTACAGCCTGTGCCAAGCAGGACTCCAAAGTCCAACACTCTGCTCACTCTCACATAACAAGTTTTCTTTTCTTTGTTGTTTAATTTTATTTATTTGCATTTCTGTTTGCAAAGGTTGAGAGACAGAGGAGAGAGCTCTTCCATCTACTAGATCACTCCACAAATACCTACAACCACCAGGGTGAGGCCAGGCACAAAGCAAGAGCCCAGAACTCCCCATGCTCTTTGCTGTGAGTGGCAGGTGCCTGAGTGTGCAGTGTTGTTTCCCAGGGTGTGCTCCAGCGGTAAGTTAGATCAAAAGCAAAACAGACAGGACTTGAACCAAGGACCTGGACAGCAGATGAAGGTGCCCCAAGAGGCATCACTGAAACCTCTACCCCAAACCATCACCTCCCCCACCCCACCCCAAGATCGTTGTCTTGCAACAGCTAACTTTGAGGAGTCTTTGAGAAGTCTTTGAGGCTTTGGCCAAGTCCAGACGCCTCTTTTATTCTCATTTCATTTGGAAAGTATCTTTATCCTCCAGCTCAAGAGCTCAGCACTCATTCAGCTGCTTGTGAAAGCTTGATGCCCGAGTTTCAAACATCTTTTCCAGCTCTCATGTTCTTTCTCTCCAAATAGGTCACAGAAAAAGAGCAAAGAAGAAATTCCTTTGACCTGTGAGCACCTGAGCAAGCAGACCCTAGGCTCTGGATTTTCTCAAACAGGGCAAGGAGCTGACCAAAAACCTGAGCATATGCTGATTCAAGAAGTCAGGACCCTGGTGCAGGCAAGATGATACGCTGCATTTTGCCAGCTGTACATAAAGCAGCCAGGTAAGCCCTGAGAAGACTGCCTTTCAGAAATCAGGTCACAAGCCAGCTGAGGTTCCCTCCCAAAGAGAAGCCACAAGCTGCCTTTTACCCTTGGGCTTTGGCTCAGAGTTTGCACTGTAAATAGAAAATGTCAGGTTATGCATCTTAACTCTTAGGTCTCCACACATCAACTGTGCCTAGAGAAGGAAAATATAAAACCATTGCTTGCTCACAAGAAATCTAATCAGGGCCTTAGTCCCATCCCTTTCATATGCCAGCCTGAGACATCAGACAACACAAATCAACAGCAAACTATCCAAAAATTGAAAACTCACATAGCAAAGGAACAGCATGGTCACTTCAACCACAGAGTATTTCCAGATATGTTCAATTGACCCCATTAAATGAGCAAAATCTGCCCTTCAGAAATGATCTGGAGGAGAAAGTCACCTTTCTAAAGAGCACAACATATCCAAGACAGGGGCAAGTATCAGGCTCCCCAACCCTTACATCCCTCTGTCTCCTCACTCCAAGAATGATACCATATACCCCAGAGATTACCCCCCCCACACACACACACACACTCACGCACTCCCAGCTAACAGGGTGGGTGGAGAACTACACAAAATAACCATTGCCTTCCTTCACCAAACTAACACCCAATGACAGAAGGCAACAGTAACCCCTGGTGACTTCACTCACTTCCCAGAGCAAAAGAGGAAAGTGAACATTCTCAAAAAGATAAAGCTCCTAGAGTGAAATGAGTGGATACCTAGCTTAATTCCCAACCATGGAAACGATCCTCTCAAACTCTGTAGAGCAGAGCCCTGGCTAGGATAGCATGGTATTTCTGTCCTAGCACGGAGGCCAGAGACGACCACCCAGTAAACAGCTCTGGCCGACAGACACTGGGCACCTACCTGAGACAAACGAGTAGGTAGCCAGGATGTTGCTGAGCAGAGCCATCTCCATGTGCTCCGAGGTGGCCGGCTCCATGCTGGGGGTGAAGGGCAGCTTCATTGGAGCATCCAGAGGAAGCCTCTCCGAGGTGCTCAGGCTGAATCAGTGCGGCTCTCTCCCCCTCTTCTCTTCTGTTTGGGCACACAAACCAATAGTGAGACACATTTTGCTTTCCCAAGGCTGTGTTCCAGGTACTTAGCCTTACGGACAAAGGGCTGGTTTCTAAAGTTCCAGCCAACTTCCCCAGCCAGGGGAACACCAAGAACTGAGATTTGTTCCCTTTACTAATTGAGCTTTCAAGGAAGCACAGCGCCCTGCATCTGTGTTTCCTGGCCTTTCTCCTTCCCCAGCCTATCCCTGCTCCCCACTTTATTTCCTCCCTTACCTTACCTGATACTCCTTAGTCCACTTTCTAGGCATCAGAGCCCATAGGGGTTCAAATCTTTTTCTTACTCAGCACATTTTTCACCGTAAGCCACAGTCTTCTCCTCCCCTTTTCTGCTCTCCCTGGAGCGCGGACCGAGAACAGCTGTGTACCTTGATCAGTTTGCTTCATCCCTCGGGTCACCCAATGTGCACCTGGGCAATGAGTCAGAGCTGGCTATCCCAGAACTACTGAAATATTCACAAGATTTTGGGAGTTCAAGCCTTCTCCCTGTCTGAGCTCCATAACTCCCTGACTGATACCACAGGGCAGCCATGCATATATACATGCCTTATGTGGCCCACACATCGCCCATCAATGGAACAGTCCCACCCGGGTTGTTAGTGGCACTTAGAAACCCAGTGGCAGTGACATCCTCTGCTGGCTATTGTTGCAGTCCAGGGCTGGCAGCATCATGCAGCGAACTCAGAGAAGGTCCCGCCCCCACCCCCTGAGCCCCTGAGGATGGAGGGTGAGCAGTGACATTCCAACACACCTTTAGAGAAGATCAAAATCAGGAATGGCTGACCACCTCACAGGCAAGACACACACAACCACAAGGTCCTGAGACTAGCCAGAGGCCCTCAGAGAGGCAGGATAAGGAGTGGGAGAGTTAGGTGGGACTGCCTGAGCCTCTGACACAAAGAACGGAGCTCTGTTCAGTGGTGTCAAATTGTAGGACACAGGGAAGGAGTTCGAGCTTCTGTCCTGAGGATTTCAAGACTCAGGAGAAATGAAGTTGCTGGAAAATGTCTGATTGGATAGCAAGATAAGACTATTTCACATCCATTTCCTCCTACCTATCTCCATAGCACGTTGTTAGGAGTTCACAAAAGTATTCTAGCTGCCATTTCTGCTAACTCCTTCTCCCTCCTCAGGGGTAACCACTGCCACTAACGTCATGGACCAATGCTTCAATTTCATCAAACTTCTCAACACAAATTCACTTTTTTTTTTAAAGATTATTGGAAAGTTGGACAGCAGAGAGGAGGAGAGGCAGAAAATAAGATCTTCGGGCCCGGCGCGGTGGCGCAAGTGGTTAAGGTCCTCACCTTGCACGCCCGGGATCCCATATGGACGCCGGTTCTATCCTGGCAGCCCCGCTTCCCATCCAGCTCCCTGCCAGAGCCAGGGAAAGCAGTCGAGGACGGCCCAAAGTTTTGGGACCCTGCACCCGCGTGGGAGACTAGGAAGAGTCTCCTGGCTTCGGATTGGCATAGTATCGGCCGTTGCACTCACTTGGGGAGTGAATCATTGGACGGAAGACCTTCCTCTCTGTCTCTCCTCTCTGTATACCTGCCTTTCCAATAAATAATAAAAATAAATCAAAAAAAAAAAAAAAAGAAGATCTTCCATGTATTGATTCACTCCCCAAGTGGCTGCAACGGCCAGAGCTACGCTGATCCGTAGCCAGGAGCCTGAAGCCTCTTCCAGGTCTCCCACATGGTGCAGGATCCTAAGACTTTGGCCCATCCTCAACTGCTTTCCCAGGCCACAGGCAGGGAGCTGGATGGGAAGCAGGAATGCTGGGGCAGGAACCGGTGCCCTTATGGGATCCTGGTGCATGTGAGGTGAGGACTTCTGCCGCTAGGCCACTGTGCTGGTCCCAATACAGATCCACTTTCACAAGAGCTGATCCCCTACATTAGCTCTTACTTTATCTGTTGCCCAAGCCTGCACTTACACACATATGCACACTGAGATATTAGTATGCTTAAATCTCCAACAATTCCAGATGACTTCCAGTTCCTCAAACACACAACCCTCTTTCATCTTTCCACGCTTTTGATCATGTTCTTCCTTTTGCCTAAAATGCCCTTTCCCCCTCATCTGTCTGGCAAATGTTTCCTTCAAAAGAAAATTGAAAAGTTCCATGGTAGTCTCTAAATCCCAACGACTTGGAAATAAGAAAATCAATGCTGAAAGACAGACTCTCAACTGACTCCAAATAGCCAAAGCATCTTGAAATTCTGAAGATCAAAGTTGGAGGTCTCCCTCTTACTGATTTCAAGACTTATTAGAAAGTTGCAGTAATCAAAGCAACATGGGACTGACATATAAAACCCTCAAATAAACATTAAAATATATATTTGTGAAAACATATTTTGGAATAATTTTCAATGAAGAACCTGAGATTCTTCAGCAGGAAAAAACATTTCTAATAAATGATGCTGAAAAATCTGGATAGTCAGATATTTACATGCAAAAGAATGAAACTGAACCCTTATTTCATTTTATTTTATTTTAAGGTTTTTTTTTAATTTTTAATTTTTAATTGGAAAGACAGATATACAGAGAGGAGGAGAGACAGAGAGGAAGATCTTCCATCCGATGATTCACTTCACAACTGACCGCAATGGTCGGGGCTGAGCTGATCTGAAGCCAGGAGCCTGGAGCCAGGAGCTCTTCCGGGTATCCCACATGGTGCAGGATCCTAAGACTTTGGCCCATCTTCAACTGCCTTCCCAGGCCACAAGCAGGGAGCTGGATGGAAAGTGAGGCTGCCGGAAATAGAACTGGCATCCATACGAAATCCTGGTGCACGCAAGGTGAGAACCCCAGCCATTAGGCTACCATGCCGGGCCCTGAGCCCTTACTTTATACCATATAAAAACAGAACTTAAGTGGCCAGTGTTCTGATGCCTGTCACCAGCATTTCATATGAGCAAACAAATCAAATCCCAGCCAGGTCCACTTCCAATCTAGCTCTCTCCTAATGTGCCTGTGGAAACAGCAGAAGATGGCTCATGAAACTGCGCCCCCGCCACCCATTTGAGAGACACAAATAGAGTGCCAGGCTCCTGGCTTGGGACTGGTCTGGCCCAGGCTATTGCAGTCACTTGGCCAGTGAACCAGAGATTGGACAAGTCTGTGTGTGTATCTACTTCCCTCTCTCTGTGTCTCTGTCTCTTCATCTCTTTGAGTAATTGCTTTCTAATAAATAAATCTTTAGAGAGGGTTTGGAGAAGTTTGACCCCTCATGCATTCCTGATAGGAAGGTAAATTTACACAGCCACTATGGGAAAAACTATGGATGCTCTAAATACTTAAAAACAATTACAGGGGCCCAGTGTGGTAGGCTAGCAGCTAAAATCCTCACCTTGCATGTGCTGAGATCCCATATGGGTGCCAGATCTAATCCCAGCAGCCCGCTTCCCATCCACCTCCCTGCTTGTGGCCTGGGAAAGCAGTTGAGGACGCGCCAAAGCCTTTTGAACCCTGTACCCACATGGGAGATTCCAAAGAAGCTCCAAGCTCCTGACTTCACATAGGCTCAGCTCTGACAACTACGAGCTTTTGGGGAGTGAACCAGTGGATGGAAGATCCTTCTCTATCCTCTCTTTAAATCTACCTTTCCAATAAAAAAAAATAAAACCATTTTTTTAAAAAAAAAAAAAGCTACAATTATCATGTGGCTCAAAGAATCTACTTCTGAAAAGCAGACACACGAATGGATACCAGTGTTCGGAGTGGCATTACGCACAATTGCCAAAAGGTAGAAGCTATTCAAGTGTCCATCCACAGAAGAACAGAGAAACAAAGAGTGGTCTACACAGACCATGAAATAGCTTGCCTTACCATGGAAGGAAACTCTGATATAAGCTACAACATGGGCAAAACTTGAGCACATTATGCTGTCAGTTAGGCAAGGACAGAGAATGCATGCTCCCCCATATTCGTAGTACCTTGACTTGTCAAACTCACAGACTCAGAATGGACAACAGTAGTTGTCAGGGACTGGGTCAAGAATCAATGAAGAGTTACTGTTTAATGAGTACAGGGTACAAAGTTTCAGTTTTGCAAGATGAAGTGTTCTGGACACGGATGGTGGTTTGGTTGCACAACAATGCAAATGTACTTAGTCTACTGAACTACCATTTAAAAACAGTTGACAAACTACTGCTAGCAACAGTAATAACTAGATGTTAAGGTACAAAAGTGAATTTTGAAGGTAACTTATGGAATCCTACACTCACAATTTGATTTTAGTTAACAATGGTGGCTGAGTTACTTTTTAGCAGTTCATAAAATGTATTCATTATATGAATTACATTATAATTCATATAATGTAAGATTATGGTTTAGGTTTTAAGTAAAAAGTACTGTCTCATTTAAAATTGAATCATGAGCCCAACATGGTAGCCTGGCAGCTAAAGTCCTCACCTTGCATGCACCGGGATCCAATATGGGTACTGGTTCTAATCCCAGTGGCCCCGCTTCCCATCCAGCTCCCTGCTTGTGGCCTGGGAAAGCAGTTGAGGACGCCCAAAAGCCTATGGACCCTGCACCTGCGTGGGAGACCTGGAAGAGGCTCCTGGCTCCTGGCTTTAGATCAGTTCAGCTCCGGCTGTTGGACTGCTTGGGGAGTGAATAAATAGACTGAAGATCTTCCTCTCTGTCTCTCCTCCTCTCGGTATATCTGACTTTCCAATGAGTAAAATAAAATAAAATAAAATAAAATAAAATAAAATAAAATAAAATAAAATAAATAGTAAGATCACATTTATAGGTTAGCAGGAAAAACGAAGATCACCACAACAGATGCAAAAATGTGTTTGTGCAAGTCTAATGCAAATGTATGATTTTTTAAAAATGGTGGGAGTCTAGTCTAGCAGTGAAGACATCAGAAAACCAGTTCCAAGCACCTGGGTTTGATTCTCTGCTCCAACTCCTGACCCCAGTTCCCTGCCAAGAAGCTTCTGGAAGGTAGCAGTAATGGCTCAGCTAATGGGTTCCTGTCACCTACACAGAAGACCTGGATTATACTCCTGTCTTCCAACTGGATCCTCGCCCAGCCTGGCTGTCAAGGGCATCTGAGGAGTGAGCAAGTAGGCAGGAGATCTCTGTCTCTCCCTTGCTCCCCAGCCCTCACATTAAGAAAACAAAGTCAACAGTGGTAATTCCCATGCCCTCTCCAGATGTTGCCCAAGCATCCAAATGTTCTTCTAATATTGCATCTGTACGATTCTAATATTTCATCTAATATTGTATTTTTTAAAAAATCATACATTTTCATTAGACTTGCACAAACACATTTTTGCATCTATTGAGGTGATCTTTTTCCTGCTAACCTCAAAGTGCAATACAAGAAGCAGCAACATGAATATTACTTGGAAACTAATTAGATTTGCATGAACTTGGGTGTGAGGCAAACTGTATCAGAGTCTCATTTCACAGGAGGCCCAGTCCTATTTGAGAAGTGTCTGCATGACCTTGTGAGCCCCTGCAGCCTGGGTGCTGACACACACTCAGCAGAGGCCCAGGGGAGTTACACTCATGCCATCTGTATAATCTGATCTGGGCCGGAAGCGACTCTCTCATATACTTGGGTCCTCCCAGCAGGGGGAGTCCTTTAGTGAGGCACCATGCCAGGGGCAGAATGTGGCAGCGGAGGGTCTGTTCAGGGCAGCTGCAGGACATGGTCTGTAGAAGTTATGAAATCAATGAACCCTACAGCCAATCTCTACTCTGACTCTTCTCACTAAGCGTTCCCTTAATAGGAATGGAATAGTTTCAAGTAGCTCTGACCACCTTTGCCAGTTGTTTGTCTTATAATTTCTAGGCAAGGGGAATGAAGTCTCCACCCCCCAAGTGCAGTTGTGTTCTCTGTATGTCAAGGAAGCCTCTCATTACCAATTTAGTGCCAGGAACAGTGGCTGTCAACCTGAAGCAGTTTCACCTCCAGGGAACAAGTGACAATATTGAGAGATTTTTTTTTTTTTTGGTCATTGTCCTACACTGGCATCTAGTGGGTAGGGGTCAAGGATGTTGCTAGAAATCCCACAAAGCCCAGGGCAGTCCAACATTTTAAAGAACTATCCATCCCAAAGCATTTTCATAGTACCAGCAGATTGAGATATCTGTGTAGCACAAACATCACCAGTTCAACAACAGGCTTTAGCAATTCTCAGTTTATGACCATACATGCATCACAGCCATCAAGATGTCAAGGCAGCTCTCAACACCTTGATCAGGAAAGCACAGGTCCAAATCCTGGACCAGCAACTCAATATTCCCACTCACCAGGATGATCAGGCTCTGAGAGAATGACTCAAAAAAGCATATCATCAACCTACACCCACACATTTATCAATGTAGAGATGGATAGCCACTTGGCACAAGTTCCAGCTTAGTTATTCTTTTAGATACATCAATCTCAAGGAATATGTTGGCAAGGACAGAATTAAGAGTGAGGAAATGGACATTTTCAAAGCCAGAGTGTTCTCTTGGCAACAGCTCATTGGATAACCTTATCCCATTCTAGAGAAAAACCATTTGTAGAAAACATCAGTAGTCAACCAGCCTCAGGACACATTCTCTTTGGGTACCTTTCCTCCATCTTTGGTCCAAAGGTCCTTCCTCTAATTACTACCAAACGACAGTCCCACGGAAAGGACCACCACTTCTCTCAGGGAGAATCTTGTCTTCCTCCACATACTGGTCTCCTGACGAAGTGAGCAACTGACTTTGTCTCGTGCACGTCACCTCTCAGCTTGAACAGCGAACAGCGTACATGGTATGTTATTTTCATAGGCTTTCATTTTATAAGAAAACTCACTCTCAATGATGCAAGTCCATACTCTCCCTAGGCATTTAAGACTGCCCATTAACATGGAGTTGATCACTGAAACCCAAAGTGTAAAAGGAAAGGCATTAGTTGATACTTCATTTCACCACATATGTATGTACATATATGTATACATATATATTTCAGTAGCAGCAATCGGCATCCTCTGGTAAGCTCCCTCACAAGTGATTATCTTTTTATAAAATTCAGTGGGTAGAAATCTCATTATCACTTCAGCTACCTGTGGAGAAGCGTGCTGTCAGGAGCAGAGCAGTATCTGGCAGGAAGAGTTCATTCCTGGAGATGCTGGTTTCATGCAGTAGAGGTTCTAAAGCTTGGCTTGCCCCAGCTGGCTTCTCAGATTCTAAAGGAAAACAGCAGCAGGAGAAAAGTATCACATACCTGGGAAACCACAACATCTCTTGGATCAGGCGTCACCAGGAACCCAACAGAGAAGTCTCAGTAGTGTGTGTGTGTATCTTTAAACAAACAGCACTCCCCAAGGCCAGAAAGCCCATTGCCAGTTTGATCTGGAATTCAGACCAGACAATACTAAAAAAAAACCACTTCCCAAGGTCATAACAGAAAGACAGTGAGAGGGAAAAGATCAAAGACATCTGCTTCCTCTTTCCTCCCAACAGCCAAAGCCTACAGACTACTGCTAGAGTAGAGCACGTGGGTCTACCGGTCTCCCTTCAGCCCAGCCTCTCTGGAGCAAGAAGGGAAGGAAGGTGGTTCCAAAAACAGTTAAGCCCAGATGCGCCATGAAAGGAACCCTGACGCAGCTCTGTGTGGCTGCAAAATCCTGGAAATGCTGACGTGTGGGTTCCCACAGCCCATAACTTCCATGCAGAAGTGTCAAGGCCCCTATGTGACCCAGCCAGGGAGGGAGTCCACACTCCGTGTGGGAGTGTGCAGGAAGAATGCAATCAGTGACAGAGCTTCCAGAGCCCTCGGCAGCCCCCCACGCCATGCGGACACACTCATTCAGTTGTCACCACCGCTTCCTGCCAACTCCCAGAGCGCTACTGACGTCTGTTTGGGACGATAGAGATACTTGTTGCAGCTGCTTCTGCCTCATAAAAGATGTGTGGCGCCTTCCTATCTGTTTTATTACTGCTCAAGAAATTAACAACGAGAGAGAAAAGGAAACTCAAAGTACACCATGAGTGCTGCTTTACTGCCTCATGCACCTAAGTGCAGGAGCAGGTCTCCGAGGCCCACCGACCATCCGCTCTGCACCTGTGAGAAACACAAGGCGGTCACTCAGAGCTGCGGGGACAAAGGTCTAAATGGAAGGACAGCTCCCACATCCCAGACTAGGCAGAAGATACACAAGGCCCCCCAAGAATCGAGTGCATGAAGAAACCCTAATTTCCTCCATAAGACTAGCAAGTACCCCATGAGTGACACATGAAACATGCCAGCCCGGCTTGCTTTGATCCAATAATCTTCCCCTCCAGCCTGCTTCAGTCAATCACTACTGGGCACATGTTCTGGTCCAAGCCATCACCTGAGGGCTGAGAGGCGTCTGTCCCTCTGAGAGCTGGGCTGTGAACTCCTCATTGTTCTCAGGGGCTCCTGCAGTAAGTGCAGAGAGCTCACGCTCAGTGATCTGGATGAATGACTCACTCAGAAATCCCACTCTTCAATTAGAACCTTCCGTCCTATTTCTCCCACGCTTGGAAGTAAAACAAATATGCTCCAACCTCTCAGATTTCCAGCTTCTCCTGCTCTCCAGTAGGCTCTCATCCTCAATGAACATTTTCCCCGCACAGCCCACACGGGCTACCACAGCTACACCTCTCTGCTCTAGAGCTTTCTGCTTCCCTCCCTCCCCTGCAGGTTAAACCCCTAAACTCCTCAAACCTCACTGACCTGCTCTCCAGCCCACAGTACAAGTGCTTCTGAAAGAAAAAAAACAACCAAGCATTTGTATTTATGTATGGTAAATATTTGGTGTACAAACTCATCAGCTGGTGGAAAATGATAAGTCACTTTTTCATTCCCTAAAGTCTACCAAACCCCTGCTATTTCAAGCCCACCCTTCCACCCTCACCTCTTTCAAATGTTCCCAGCTTTCCAGAGAACAAAGGTCACGCTACATGAACTCGAACTTCCCTTTCTTCCACTTCATTCTGACCTTCCCCATCCTGTGCTTTTGATCAAACACTCATTCCTTCTTCCTACAGGACATAGTTTCATCACTGACTGACCCTTATCTCACTTTGCTTTTTTTTCCATCTAACTACATAAACAGGTAAGCAGGTAAGTGGTCAGACAGATGGGTGATGGGCAGATAAGTAGATGTTCTGCATATATAGATATTACATACATGTGTAGTTCTCTATCAGACTTTTCCTCAACATCTCCCTTTCATTTTCTTTTCCCTCCTTTCTAGGTGTGTACAAGACACTTAGGCATGAATACACATGGATATGCTCATGTGTGTATATATACAGATATGTATATTTGTATATTATCTTTCTCAGATATTTCCTTGTCCTCTCCACATCACTCCCTCAGTGTTCTAGTCTGGTCACTGTCTACTGTACAATGACTTGATTTCCTCCCCCACCCTGAATGATCATTCATTTGCTCCATTTCCCCTGTAGTTTCTTCTCACTCTCTTCCCTTCACAACCAAACATCTTCATAGAAACTTATAGTTGTTTCTTTCCATTTCTTCTATCATTCAGCCATTGGCCTGAAAAAAAGCCTGGCCCTGAACCCAGACTGTCTATCAAAGATTTATCAGTGGGGTGATGGCCATAGTGAAACCATCAGGTTTGTGCTAACCTTGAGTGCTTCCGGATGGAGACTAGGAACTCCTGGCTGGCAAGCACCTCCCGTCTCATCCTCCAACAATGCTGGTTAGTACAGTACCTGGCACATACACGCTTTCAAAGACATTCTGTCATGGTAATGGGAACCAAGGTGTGTGGGGCTAAGATTGTTAGACACGGGATTGAAAACATAAGCAACAGTTGCTCAGCCATTACTATATAACGCCTGAACCCCCAACAAGAAACTGTCTTGAACTGAACATAAAGCTATGGTACAGAACTAGAGTGCAGACTGGTATGGCCCCTACCAATCCTCCCATGAATGCAGACCAGAAACGTCCCAATGTTATTACAGCAGGGATGAGACACAAAGCCTGGAGCAAGCACGGAGGACCAGGCAGAGGTCAGTGCTAGAAATGGCAGCACACCATTAACGCACAGCAGTGCCTTCAAGCCTGGAGGCAGACTGTCTTCCTATCACAAGGCAGTCTGCTGTCTTAAGTCAATAAGTATTTGTTAAATCCCACTGGAAGCATTTATTCAGCAAAGCAGTCTGCCACTCTCAAGAGACTGAAAATGCCCTGCAGAAAGGTCTCTGCTTTAGCTATCTCTGCACTCAGAGACTGACTCACATTAAGTGCTTTCTTCAAATGAATAAATCCAGAAACAATAAATGTGGTCAGCAAGAGACATTTGCAATCTGGCTACTTGCGCTGCAAATAGAACAAATTATAAAAGGAATGTAGACTAAGTCATATGGGCCAGTTGGGATAGTTAATTCCAATAATGGGTAGCAACACGTGACAACCCATGAAGACTTCAGAGAGATGTAACATTCACACTGAATGCTGAACAACTGGGTATTAATTGAATAACTAACTATACTAACAGCTCACATTTACCATACAGAAGATGCAAACTCTGCCCAAACTGATACACAGGTTTCATGTATTTTCTATTAAAGTCTTAGACTTTTTCAGATATAAACAATATTCCTTAAAAGTAATATGGAAAGACAAGGGAATGTGCACTGCCAAAATATTTGAAAAAGAAAAAAAGTGAGAGGAATCAGCCTGCCCAATTTCAAGAATAACTGCACTGCTAAATTAATCAAGACTATTATTATAGAGAGGTTCACAGATTAATTTAACTACAATAGAGAATCTAGATGCAGAGCCACAAATACAATCAACTGATTTCTGACAAATGTTCTAACAATTCAATATAATAAAGTAGACTTTAAGTCACTTCTTTGACTTTTGGCTAAGATCAAGTATAGAAAATAACCTCTTTCCAAATAGTGGTTCAGGAAATGAATATAAGTAAAAAAGTGGTCCTGGACATAAACCTTACATTTTACATGAAAATGAATTCAAAATGGAGCCTAGACATTAAAATAGGAATGTAAAACAATAACACTTTTAGAAAAAACAAAAACACAGGGAAAACCTTCAGGATCTATGATCAAATGGTTCTTAGAACTGACACCAAAATGATTATCCATATCAAGGAAGAATTAGTAATTTGGGCTTCACCAAAAATCAATAAAATTTCCCCTGCTAAAGACTTTTTTTGAAAAGTAGGCTACATCCCTTGATTCTTTTTACCCAAACTATGTAAAGACTGTCAAAATAAAAAAAGAATTTGGAGAGAAAAAAAAAAGAAAAGAAAAGTAGGTTACATAACCTGGCACAACCTAGCAACTAAAGTCCTCACCTTGCAAGTACCGGATCCCATATGGGTGCTGGTTCTAAACCTGGCAACCTTGCTTCCCATCCAGCTCCCTGTTTGTGGCCTGGGAAAGCAGTCAAGGACGGCCAAAAGCCTTGGGACCCTGCACCCGCGTGGGAGACTCTGCACCTGCTCTGGCTTTCAATAAGCTCAACTCTGGCTGTTACAGTTGCTGGGGGAGTGAATCATCAGATGGAAGGTCTTCCTCTCTGTCTCTCCTCTCTATATATCTGACTTTCCAATCAAAAATAAAATAAATCTTGGGCCCGACATGGTGGCCTAGTGGCCAAAATCCTTGCCTTGAACATGCCAGGATCCCATATGGGTGCCAGTTCTAATCCCGGCAGCTCCACTTCCCATGCAGCTCCCTGCTTGTGGCCTGGGAAAGCAGTCGAGGACGGCCCAAAGCCTTGGGACCCTGCACCCATGCAGGAGACCTGGAGAAGAAGTTCCTGGCTCCTGGCTTCAGACAGCTTGACTTTCGTGAAAGGCGCGCGGGTGGACTTCAGCCAGGAACTGATCCGAAGCTCACTTCAAGTGTTGAACAGTCCTCAGGCATGGCAAGGCTGTTCACGTGGGACGTCCTTCTCTGTAAAACTCTGACACGGGGATGGGTGGCTCTAACCGCCTTCTCCCCTCTGCACGCAAGTGCCAATGTGAGGAACCCGGATTAGTAGTAGATCCTTCCAATCATGTTCTGCTCCCAATTTTATTTCCCTCGGTTGAGCCTCCATGGATGTTGTGTTTTACCACCGTTCTTTCAGAATGTGAAGTCTTTACACTCCCTCATTCCCGCCTGACTGACACACAGAAATCAAGGATTTAGTCACTGGTGAGAACAGAATAAGGAATAGGGCCCTCCACCATTGGAAATCATCTCTCTGGGTTTCCCAGCTGTTTGTACATATGTATATATCTCTGCATAAAACCTCATTTGAAAGAAAAAAAATAATCTGGAAGACTAAACCAGGATATTAGGGGTCATATCCTCCTTCTCAGGAGGAATAACTGAAGGGTCAAAGTGTTTTATTTTGAGAATTTTTGGAGGAAAGCACTATGAGGGCTTTCTGTTTCCCGAAAATGAAGAGGTCACATATGAAAAGAGTTGATGTGCAATGGTGCCAGTAACACAGACTGATACACT